AAGCAGCGAGTTAGATCTCTTAAGAATCATGTGAGCTTCTCGCAGAGATTGACAATTTTGCATTTCAATTTTATTCACCAACTGTCTACTTTCTCTATTACTGCGTAATTATATCGATTTCAGAGCGTGACCGAATGTGTCGCTCTAGCCATTGTATCACGAAAAGAACACGCTGCGAACGTTTGAAATTATACCATCCACCTCATTTTATCATGGCCGTATTTATCGCCGTTTAGTGAGTTGAGGTTCCAAGAAACTTGTTTGACACAGTTTTTTATTAAAAAGCAGCGAATCGGATCTCTGGAGAAATCTCGTGCTCTCCCGAGCGGTATTTGATAGCTTCAGTTTTTTATTTCGATGTTTCTTAACTTTTTGAAAGGGAGCGCGAGAGAGTAACACTAAGCAGATGTGCAGTCACGATTAGAAATTCCGTGACATTGACGGAAAGGTCACTAAAATCTGCTTTCTTATGAGAAGGGAGACTAGCTCTCTAAAGGTTATAACTTATTTTGATTCGTTTGCGTGTCGCATTTGGTGCGGATCATGGATTGGGATCAACGTCAGAGAAACAACGAACCTACCCCTCCCTTCACCCCAAAACAGTCAATCTATAATAAGTCCGGGTTAATGTTGAGTTAGGGGAGAGGTAGGTATACAGATACTCGGAAAGCCAACCACTTTTTGCAGGAATAGTGTTAACTAAATGTAGGTGAAAGTTAAAAAAAAAATCGCTCGGCTGCAGTTCTTCTCTGCCACACTATTTTCATTTTATTCTTGTGACCATGCAACTTTCAAACATCAGTCTTCCGGTTCAACACATGCGAACAGAACGGGGGAAGGGAGGGTGGGATGATGAGGGAAAAAAAGAGACTCAGTTGAAAGTAGATGGAGGAGTCACCTTCTTAGATAAGTTCTTCTCTTTTCAAGCGCTCGGTGTCAGCCTAACAGAGGGTGAAGCTGATGTGGTCTCGCCTTCGGTCCAAGGCTGTTTGAATACAGTGTATGCATCAAATAGGAGATTTTGACCACTAATGCTGTTGTTAATCGGCATTTAAAAGTTTGAAAAAGATAATACGTAACAATCCAGATAAGCCCCTTCTACATAGAAGGCAGGTTTGTTACAATAAGCCGGTAACAGGCATAGAAGCATGATAATGGTGGAAATAAAACTTTTTAGTGCGGCCTTCTTTGTATCACAGTCCAGTTACTCTAAATGTCAGTGGTATCTTCCCTGAGGACTAGGGCCAGTCTCTGCCGAGGTTTTGCCATTCGACACTACGTTAAACCTCGGCGCACGTGTATTTTCATCGCTTGTTATTCTCGCCTTTATTTTTCGGATGAGGATCGTTTAACTA